TTAATGTTAATGTGTTTTGTGTGTGTTTTTGCTCTCTGTGTGTTTATCCTATAATTATTATTATTGCTACTCCATTGTGTGTGTGTGTTCTTGGAAATTCTCTGTGTGTGCACCTGGGCTTGCACTGTGATAATGATGAACTGTTTTTTGCAGTGGAGGAAGAGAAAGGAAATAATACTAACAGATTAATTTATAATTGCGTATATACACATATATAGACTTACACCCATGGTTGGTGTGTATTTCTATGTTTACTGGGTAAATTGGGCTAATGGTTAATATGTTTTTCTTTGCTTGATGATTTTGCTGGATCGCTTAGCCTTTTTTTGAAATATTTGTGAGTGTGGGCTTTTTTTGTTTTTTTTACTCTTACTGAGGTTATTGCGCTGTATTGCATTCTTTAACTGGTAGGTGTATACTTTCACAATGTGAGTTTCCATAGTGGTAATCGATTTGTGTGTCCTAACATGTTTGATTCTTCATTTATTATTTTCTTTTTTTACTTTTTGATTGTCTTTCTTTCTAGATTAGTGTTTTTACGCAAACCAAACTATTGTCTCTCTCATGATGATGATGATGATGGGCCGTGTGATGTGTGTGTTGGCCGTTGTGCTGTGCTGTGCCTGCGGGTATACCATGGCGGCTGCTGCTGCTGTTGATAATGACAGTCCCAGTGGCCGTGGTGTATCCCGTGGGGCTGTGGAGGTGTCGTGCGGGGCCGGCGGTGCGCTGCGTGTACGCCCCGCTGCTGAGAGCGAGTGGCTTACATGCGGTGCGGGCAGCCGTGTGTCTGCATGTGGGAAGTACGCAGACCTCTGCCGCCAGCGTACCGCAAGAGCAGCAACAAGAACAACGACAAGGACAGCAGTCACTGCTAGTGAAGGGAAAACTAAGCCGTACGCAGGTGAAGATAAGGCTGGAAGTCATTGGGAATGGGATGGTTTTCCTTTTCTTTCAGAAGACGACGAGAAAGAGAAGGCCAATTGGGAGAAGTGTAATAAGTCCGAAACACGTGAAGTTCCTGAAGTGAAATGTTCGATTTGGAAAGAATTTAGGAAGGAGACTTCCAGTCAACCAATCACCGTTAACCGTCGTGAACCACATACACAACAGCAAGAACAACTAGTACAGAATCATGAACTCATACCTAATCAGCGGGAGGGCCTAACGAATGGGGACCATCCTGAGCAAGATAACAGTGTGGTGGTTTCCCCTGGGGTGTCTGCAGAACGGAAAGAAGAGTTAACTCTTGTCCCAGCTCCAGAGCCTTCACCTACGAAAGCTGCAGAACCACAGAGTACACCAGAAGGTACACCAGAATCAGAAAGAACTGAAAATCCACCAACAGGGGAACACACAACTGAAGAGGTTGATACCAATCAAACAAACCCACAAACACAGTCTGAAAGTGCCCCAACAAGTTCAGAAGAAACAAATACCACTACTCCACCGAGCTCCGAGAACACTACCACAGAAGCACCAACTGAAACACCATCTCCTGTACCCAATCCAGAGATCAACACTATTGCCTCCACTGTGCAGAAGAATAAGGGTAACGTTGACAGCAGTCTCAGTCCTGTGTGGGTGCGCACTGCAGCACCGCTACTGATTGTGGCTATGTTGTTCTCCATTACTGTGTACTAAACGGTGGGACTCATCTGAGGTCGAATAATAATAATGGTTAATACTAACATTATCACAATTGCGTACATCCCTCATGGGTGAATGAATTAATAATCTGTTTATCAGCTTTATCTTTTAATTCGAATATCTTTTCTTTTACTTTTATGTGTGTGTGTGTTCTTTTTCTTATTAATTCCATTACTTGCTTTTCCCGTTGTGTGTGTTTGCAGAAAACTGGGCTGTTCTGCTCACTGACGGTATACATCTCTTGCTAGTACACACAGATATGTGCAGTAATTTTATATATAAACTAGAGCCATGGAGTATTGTGTGTGTGTGTGTTTGGCTCTCTCTCTTATTTGGGTATTGTGGGGTGTTCTCTTTTTTTTTCTAATATTGGATACATATTATCATTACAAGCTGTATATTCCTTTTTGTTACTTACTGTGCTGTTGATTCTCTCTCTCTCTATCCCACTGTGAGTATTTGTTGTATTGGTGTACGTTTGTGTGTTTCTCTCAATTTTTTTTCTTCTGTACGTCTTTCTTCCTTGTATCAGTCTATTGCAGTAAAACACAACAATGACAAAGGCTGTAATGGTGAGGTGTTATCTGCTCTGTTTATTAACTCTTGCACTGTGTTGTGCCTGTGGGTTAGTATGGGCTGATAGTCCTAAAGCTTCTGATGCCCTTATTAAAGCTTCTACTATTGGTGTTCCTTCTCTTGTGCGTCGTGCCGTTACTGCGTTTATTATCTGTGCTGGTGATGAAAAGGAAGGTGATGTTGATTGTCAATGTGTGAAGGAAGAACACAATGGTGGGGATACGGAACATGGTTCTGCGCATGGAGATGGTGCTGCTGGTTCGAATTCATCCTTGGACAACAATTCCAGTATTCCTGGTGGTCCAGAGAGTGGTTCAGACCCAAAGCAGGTAGGTGGTGGAATTCAACGAGAATTGGAAAGTGAAAACGCAGGTCAATTAATAGGCACAAAAGGTGAACACGATCAAGTTTCTGCACCGCCTCCTGCCCTTTCAGATAACCTAGCCCAAAGTGCTGGCGGTGTGAATAATCTGGATTCCCAAGTTAACAAGGGCGATAATGGTGAGAAACAAAGTGATAATGAAAGGAGGGAATTTTCACAAACAAGTACCATCAAACCTATACAGGGTGAAAATGCAAAAGAGGAACTAAATAAAAAACCTGAAGTAACACCTGTTGCTCAATCTCCCAGTGATCCCAATGGATATTCTGAAGTCCTACAGACCCCAAGTCCGCAGGCACAGGAAACATCGTCTGGGAACACACAAGGGGTTCAAGAAAAGGAGCACAACGCTCAGAGTAATACTGCTAACACTGACAATTCCACTCTACCAAGTAATGAGGAATCAACCACCACCACCACAACAACAACAACAACACTTCCTCCTGAACTCACAAACAACAAGAAGGGTGATGCAGACAGCAGCAGCAGTATCAGCAGTTCTGTGTGGGTGCGTGTACCACTACTGATTGTGGTTACACTGGCCTGTATTCTTGTGTGCTGATTGTGGTGGTGTGGTGGTGTGACTCAAGTCATCCTTTGTTTTCTTTTTTTCTTTTTTTTGCATGCAATCCCTACACTCTAACTAATTTTCCACCTGTTGGGATTTATCTTCTTTTTTTTGTTTCTTAATGTTAATGTGTGTTTTGTGTGTTTTTGTTCTCTATGCGTTTATCCTATAACAATTATTATTGCTACTCCATTGTCTATGTGTGTGTGTTCTTGGAGACTCTCCGTGAGTGTGCCTGGGCTTGCACTGTGATAATAATGATGATGAACTGCTTTTTTGCAGTGTGGAAATAAAGAAATAATAATAACAGATGAATTTATATTTATAATTGCGTATATACACACATATAGACTTACACCCATAGTTGGTGTATATTTCTGTGTTTACTGGGTAAATTGGGCTAATTTGTAATATCTGTTTATTTGCTTGTGGTTTGCTTCTGCGTTGTGTGTGCTTTGCCCTGCACCGTTGTGGTGATATGTTTTCTGAAGAAACAAAAAAGAATAACAGATACACTTGTACTCATAATTGCATATGAATTCAAACATAACCGAGTTTCTCTTTGATTTTGTTGTTTAGTGGGGGTCGATGTTTTTCCATTTAATTTCTTTTTTTTTTCAGTTTGCTTGTGGTTCTTTGAGTGGTGTCCCTTTATTGGAATCTTTATTCTTCGTAATGATTGTTGTCATGTTTGTTGTGTGGTTGTGTGAGTTATTTTTTTTTACGCCGTATTTCTTTGTTTAACTATTTGTCTACGATGACTTTTTTCTCCCTTGTTATGTATTTCTTTGACAAGTTTAGCTGCCAAAAAGAAAAGATAAGTCTTGTCATGATGCTGCGACGCGTGTTTTGTTTTCTGGTTTTGCTTCTTAGCATTACCTGTGTGTGTGTAGCGAAAGAAGAGACTGAAGAAGAGGCACCTGCTCATGATCCTCTTTCTAATCCACTAACACCTTCGGGTGATCTTCCTTTTGGTTCTCCAGGTTCTTGTCCTGGTGGTGCTGATGCTGCTAGTAGTGCTGGTTGCCCTACTGAGAGTGCTGAAAAATCTTGTCCTCCTGATTCTTCTGGTTCTGCCGGTACTCAACCTCAATGTATTGAACATACAGCAAAGGTACAGGTTCCACCTGGACCGAAGACACCTGTTGATGATACTAAAGGTGACACTGGTCGTCAAGGGTCTGTAGGTGAAAGGGGTTCTGCAGGGTCTAAGGGTGATTCTTCTACTTGTTCTGCTACTGGTGCTGCTTCTACTAGCGCTACTGGCGGCATTTGCACTTCTGGTACTGCTGGTGCCCTTTCAGGTGATCGTGGTGAGGTGCACACACAACTTCCACAAATACAAAGTTCCCAACATGAACTTCAATCTCACGTTGTCAACGTTGCGGAGGAACAGCAACGACAGGGACACCTGGAATCTACCAAAGGGGAACAACCACAGTTAACGAGTCAAACCAAAACACGTGAATCTTCTCCAGATCAAGTCACCGATTCTACACTGGAAGACGGTAGGAAGCCCCTACCCCACAACGACTCTCAATCACAAACAGGGTCACCTGATCAAGAGAACACAGAGACCACAAAAACAACAACGCCAGAAAAAGTAGAAGGGCAAGAAATATCACATGGTCAAACTCCTAATACAGATGACAGTTCACACAGCACTTCACCTAGAGATGATGCTCAGAATAATCACGATGAAAGTGAAACTAATGTTGTTGCAAACCCTACAGAAGGTGAATCAACCAGTAATGAGGAATCAACCTCAACCACCACCACCACCACAACAACAACAACAACAACACTTCCTCCTTTGCCTGCAAACAACAAGAAGGGTGATGCAGACAGCAGCAGCAGTATCAGCAGTTCTGTGTGGGTGCGTGTACCACTACTGATTGTGGTTACACTGGCCTGTATTCTTGTGTGCTGATTGTGCAGTGGTGCTGCAGTGACTCAGGTCATCCTTTGTTTTCTTTTCTTTTTTGCATTCCCTACAGTCCAACTAATCTTCCACCTGTTGGGATTATCTCTTTCTTTTTTTGTTTCTTAATGTTAATATGTTTTGTGTGTTTTTGCTCTCTCTCTATGTTTATCCTATAACTATTATTATTGCTACTCCATTGTGTGTGTGTGTTTTTCGAGACTCTCTGTGTGTGCCTGGGCTTGCACTGTGATGATGATGAACTGCTTTTTGCAGTGAAGGAAAAGAAATAATAATAACAGATACATATTTGTGTTTATAATTGCGTATACACACATATATGGACTTACACCCATAGTTGTTGTATTTCTATGTGTTTACTGTGTAAATTGGGCTAATGTTTAATATGTGTTTCTTTGTTTTGGTGCTCGTGGGTCATTGTGTGCTTTTGCCCTGCACGGTTTTTGGTAATCTGTTTTATAAGAGCAAAGGAACAAATAGTAGTTAATACAATTTGTATTCGTAATTACTTGAACAAATCATCATACTCAGTGGTCTGTGAGTTATTTTGTGCGTTTGGTCCTCTTCTTAATTTGTGTTTTTTTTTTCGCTTTCTTTGCTTGGGCGCTGTGTCCTTTCTCCTGTATTGTTGTGTGTTGGAGTGTTTTGTGTGGAGAGAAAATAATAAGGAATACATAAGTATATTTGTAATTGTGCTAGGTCCTACAGGAAGTGGCATTTTGATTTATTTCTGTGCTTTATGATTCTGATGGTCGTTCTCTTTAATTTTTTTTTTTCTTTTGAGGGGTAATTGGGATTTTCTGTTTGTTATTGGGTACTGTGTGCGTTTTTACTTTAATTTGGGTATTATCTGAGTTATGATTGCACGTTTTTTTTCATGCGTGTGTTTCTGCTGTAATTATTGAGTGTTCTTTGATTTGGTGTGTGTTTTTTTTATTTTCTTGTGTACATTAATTCAGTTTGTTTCTGGTTTTTCTATCTGTTTTTGGTTTTTTCCTGTAAGCGATTGAAGTAAGACTACTACACGAAGTATTGTAATAATGATGATGCGCTACGTGCTGTGTATCCTCGCTCTCCTGCTCTCATGTGCGTGTGTGCACGTCCTCGCTGAAGAAGTGCCTGCCGCCGATCTTTCCGACCAAGTCCCTGATACGGAGA